CACTATACACACGGCTTCTTAAAGATTTATACTGATTGCTTTAATCTTTGGTTATGTGTTCTTTTTGTGTGTTTAAGGCCATACAGTTGGCCAAAATAAATCGATTTATTTTTACTCTTAAGGTTGTTTGAGGATCTGTTCCTCAGGGGTCACATGGGCTTGGGAGGAGCCCCTGGCTCCTTTCTTTTACCAGTTCTGGTTGAGCAGGACCTTTGACTTATCTTCACAAGTCAGACTTTTGAGGGTGTGTGTGTGTGTGTGTGTGTGTGTGTGTGTGTGTGTGTGTAAGAGAGTACATTACATTTGGGTGGGAGGCAATGGAGGGAGGTGCAGATAGGGGAAGGAATCTAAAAATCATCAAAATATATTTTTGAAAACCACAAAAATTCAATAAAAAAAGAAAATGTCTGAGATGAAACTTAAAGGATCATAGATGTACCAGACAAAGGGAGGAAAGAATAAAAGTAAAGAAGATACTTTAGTGGGACTGGAGAGATGGCTCACCAGTTAAGATCAATGACTGTTCTTGCAGAGGACCGGGGTTTGATTCCCAGCACCCACATGGCAGCTAACAACTGTCCATAACTCCAGTTCTAGGGCATCCAACATCCTCTTCTAATTTCCATGGGCATTGCATGACACAGGTGAACTTACATACATGCAGGCAATATACTCACACACATAAAATAATAACAATAATAATAACAACAACAACAGAAGGTACTTTAGGACTCAGGACTTCAAATCAGGACCATGTAAAATCATGATTAACATTAATGACTTTATAGTAAGATGTGAGTTTGAAATTTTTAACTCACAAACTTAGTTTCATCACTAGCAATACCAGTCTTACTATGATGCTCATGAGGATTAGAAAAATAATACATAGACATATACTATTCTAAGTGGTCACATAGTTTCTTAATAAATCAAGATTACTGTTATTATTAAAGCTATGGCATTCTATATTGTTAAAGGAATTCAATTATTCTTAAATGTTTGTTTTAGTAGGTGGTAATCTATGTGAATTCTTCAGATGTGAAATAATCGTATTATTGAACATAATTACTGTCATCACACTTACTTCAAGTCCATTGACTCAAATCATCCTCAATGAAAAACTCAGGGAGCATAAGAACTTTATACTTCTTTGCTTAAAATTCAAA